AGATTGAAAATAGAGCTAGTGTGTGAAAGAGGGCAAGAGCAAAGAGCCTGGATCCAGCTATGCCTGAAGCTAGTGCTAGAATTCCCAAAAAAGAATGATAAATTTTCCTTTTACTTAGAATATTTTGAGATGATTTCGATAATCTTTACCCAAAGAGTCGTGGCTAATACAGAGACTCTTAAACTTCAGGTTGCTAATGTTTATATGCAGGCTGCCATTAATAGACTGAATGGCATTTTAAATTTTACTATAAATTCTGTGACAAAGCTTGAAGGAGTAAATTGATCCTTAATCAAATAGGCTATTTCACTAAAGACTATCCTTTAGCCTTATCTTGACTTCCAGGTTTTATGAATGCCAGCTTGACACATGACATTGGAGAGAGGCTCTCCATAACGCAACTCTTCTGTTGGTTTGGAGGTATTTAGATGAAATCTGATACATTTTTTTCAGACCCCAAGGAACCTTTGATTTGCTATTTCCTAGCCAAGTGACCCTGAACAAGCAATTTAACACTTTCATCTCTAAGGTGGAGACCAATAATTACCCTGAAGATCGCTACCAGGATTCGAGATAACATTCTTAGAGCCCTAACATGTAATAGGCTTCCAATAAATTGTCTTCCTGTTTATAACAATAGCAGCTAACATTTAGTGAATGTTTATTACGTGCCAGACACTGTGCTAAGAGCTTTTCATTCAATATCCCATTTCATCTTCCAAAGAGTTTTATTTAAAAAAAACTATTAGTATCCCCATTTTAGAGATGAGGAAACTGAGATTTAGAGAAGATAAAAATCTTGCTCAAGGGAACCTAGCTAGGCAGAGTCAGCTGCAATGAAAAGCTAGGTGTGTCTGACTCTAGAAGTAGCCTTTATAACCACTACTCCACAGCTCTCTGTGGATGTTAGCCAAGATTGTTGTTATTATTATTACTATTAGTACTAATGTTTTTATTGACATTGCTTTAAGGCTCTAGGTTCCTTAGAGAAGCAGATTATATGACAGAATTCGTAAGAAAGAACGGCCTTTTCTTGTTTGGGATTCTCATACTTCACACTCTGCTTTATAAAATGACACAACCAGGAAACATCTCTCCAGTGGTTTATATTAAACAAGACAAAACAAAAGGCTACACAATAAATGTCTCCATAAGATTAAATACTGTGGTTAAAACTGCCTTCCTTGAATTCAACAGCTTTAGATTATGAGTCACCAGAGAAACATCTCCATCCCATAGAGTCAGCTCTCTCTTCCCCTCTACCCCCCAAAAGATGAATAGCTGTAATAAAGGGGACCAAAGAAAGCCCCTCCTAAAACTTCATGATTTTACACTTAACATCAAGCAGACTAAGAA